ATTAGTAGGCAAGGGTTAGAGTTCAAGGCGTTTTACTTCGATTTTTTATTTACTAAAATTTAGCTTTTAATAATTTTTTTTTTATATATTTTACATTGGCCGTCGTAGATTATTAACAACTTGTAGGAAAATGTTTAAAAACATTAACTTTCTTCATAGTTTCATGGGTTGAGTTTAATATTAGTAATTCATTTTCTCACTTAACATCTCTAAGAAAGGTCAACATAATTTTTTTAGTACTGGTATAAAAGTATGTGGTGTATAATACAGTAACAGTTTCGAACAAGTATTTTTTTATAACTATTTTGTAATCTATTTAAAGTTTTAGTAGTTCTTGTAGCTTTTGTGTGTACATTTTATTATTTACCGCATTTTATAAATAGCTTTCACCTGTGACAGAATGTAAGCTCGAGCTTTCAATTGTGACACTCTCTATGCTAATAATAGTAGTTTGAGATTTTATTGTAGCAATTAATTCAGAAGCTTGTAAAAAATTTTAATTCTGAATAACAAATGGATCAAAGTACTTTGAGCTTTTATTCTGTAGTCAATTGAACAACCCTGTCATATCATGATGGCTCAGCCTTTTGAGCATGATTTTATGCATTTTGAGCATAATGAAAAACTATTGCGAAAATTCGGGAATGAAAATTTTGCATTCATTTACAAACTTTACAGTGCTTGAAATATTTTTTAATTTCAACAAGCTGTAAGCTTTTAAATTTCAATAAAAGAAAATTTCAAATTAAAGAATTTTAGAATTTCGTATATGATTAAGCTTTCATTGACCTTAGAAAGCTTATGAGACTGTTAATAAAACTAAAATTTTTGTAAAACTTGGCGTTATGCTGCTTTCGTTTTCGTGCTGAGCATTTTCATGTACTCATTTGTAAAGTTTCTACTCCATAAGCATCGATTACGTTTAGCTAAAAGTTTTAAATTTTTTCCAATCATGACGCCTTATTTGCAAAATATGAAAAAATGCTTAAAACTTTTATATTAAGTTAAAATGTGTTTCTTATACATACTTAGAAGCTTTCATGAAAGCTTAGAAAACATTTATGTAAGCTTAGAAGCTTTTATGAACATTTAGAAAGCTTTTGCTAAACTTTAAAAGCTTATAAAAGTATATGAAGGAACTGTTTTCAAAAAATTTTATTCATCACGCACTTTATAGTAGCTGCATAGTCTTCGAAATTTAGCTTAACATTTGTTTTTTCTTTTTTTTCAATTTCTGCCTGATTTTGACTCTTTAGTCAACCTTCTATAAAAAAGCCCAATGTGTGCCATAAGACAGTTTTTAAAGTTCTAAATCAGAAATCAAATATCTGCAGGCGCTTTGAAATTTTGAAGCATAAATGCAGGTCTTTATGCACTGTTTTTGTGCGAAAAATCCGTTAATACGCCTAAAAGCATGCTACCAAAATATTGCACCTTCGCCTTTTGTTTGAAATTTTCCTTTCATTCCCTTTGTTTTGTCATGCAAACAGGAATCGCCTTTTTTAATTAACTGTCATTAGCATTTTTTTCGCTGCCTTTCATTCACAAACTTTTCTTCATTCACATTCTTTTCATCCAATCGTAAATATCACAGCTCACACATCCAAACACATACATAATTCAATCTTTTAACGCTTTTCCTTTCCATATTTCCTTCACGCGAAAACAAAGCTGCGTCGCTAATGGCTGCTCCGTATCACAAAGTATTGCACCTAATTATGCCTCGTGGGAGTGTCAGCGAAAGTGGTAAGCGTGTGTGTGTCTGTGTGAGTTCGCGCCTTTCATTAATTATTTTGAATTATTATTACGTTTATTGTGGCATCAAAGGATTTACTCCTCAACGTCACTTTCATTTAAATGTGTGCACAGTGAAATACCGTCTCATTAGAGGGTTATTGTAATTGTTTTTAATCCAGCGGAAAGGCTAATTGACATGCATACGTACATTAGGGTGCGCTGAAAAACTAATAACGAATTTATTAGTTCTGTTACAACTGCATTGTATATAAAGTGAAAAAAAGCAATACAAGGAAAGAATTTAATCTTAATTCTAAACGGTGTTGGTGAGCATTCAAAATAACCCTTATAAATAATACGTAAAAAAAATGTTTTCATTAAAAACGCCATAACCATTTGTTCGAGATTCATATATTTAAAGTTTTGAATAGTGGAAAAAAATTTCCCTTGGAGGGGTATTTTTTTTTTCGATGTATTAAAATACATTTTGGCTTTTTGAATTCGACAGGTTTGTATAGTATATTAAAGAGCTTTCAAAAGTTTTTTACCAAATACATGCAATATGAAAAAGTTACCCTTTCCAGGGAAATTGTTTTTTCCATATATGTGTATGTTATTTTAATCCACCAATTCGATATGTATGTATATGTATACATGTATTGAAAAGTGACAAAAATTGCCCCTGCAAGGATATTTTTTCTGTATATGAGTTCATTTAAACCCATAAAGTTCACAACTTGGTTTATTTAAAAGAGCTGGGAAGTGAAAAAATGTTCTTTACAGGATGTTATTTTTTATTTGAGCATTGAAAAGTAAAAATTAAAAATGTCCTCACAGGTATAAATTTTGCTTTGTATATGTATATACATGCATCCATAGATTGATTTTGTCCCCTCAATTTGACAGGTGAAAAATTTAAAAGCTTTGAAAAGTATGTAAAAAGACCCTTTTGCAGGGATATATTTTCTGTTTATGAATATATTAATTTTATTCGATGAATTAAACCATATACATATGTAGGTACATAAAAACTGTGTTCTAGCAGGGATATTTTTTCCGGCCATTATATTTTTGCCTTAACACATAAATTCTACAAGTTATTATATTTAAAAGATTTTTAAAAGTAAAAAAAAAACTTTGTTGCCGGGATATTTTTCTTTTTCTATATACAGTTCATTTTATTCCCTGCATTTGATAATTTATAAGCTTGGAAAAGTAAAAAAAATTTCCTGCAAGTATATGTTTTCTGCATATAGATTCAGCTTAAGTGATAAATGAAAAAATTATATGTTTTAAAGCTTTAAAGAGTGGAAAAAATACTTCCTTCCTCGGATATTTTTTCTCTGTACTAATGCACATAAAAGTTTACTTTAACTGACAAGTTAATATTTGTCTCATCCTAATAAACATATGGACATACGTATACACTTTTCTCTCGAATAATTGCTTATAATCGCTAGATTTGTGCTGAGAATGATTGATCTTAATGACAGAAGCTGTCAATATCTGCGTTAATGTTATGTGAAAAGCTGTAGCTTTGCATAATTTTAGGCATGTTGTAATAATACATTGAAGTTTAATTCCATTTGCTGGCGAACTATAATAATTATAAACTACAATTCACAGTTAGAAATCGCTAAATCGCAGAAAAATTTCCGAGAAACATACATTTAGGCGCTTTACCTTTTCATTTCGAAATATAAATTTAAGTACGTTCATAAATCGTTATGTATAATCTACTTTGAATTGATGAAGAACATAAAATTTATACTTATCATTTAAAAAATGCTCAGCACGACTTCATATGACGTTAAAAATATTGAATTATAAATGTGTTTTTAAAATTCTTGCATACTTTTAGTTGTCTCATGAATTACGAACTCGCTCATTTGACGGCTTTTTAGAAAATTGCGATAGTACAATAATTTTAGTTAGTTTAGAGTATATTTTACCTCACTGTTTATTTAACATATTTATAGGTGCTTATTTTAAGGCTTCGTTCGATGTCGTTCTACGGAAATTATATAAAAAGTATTTTTTACATTTTTAGTTTGAATCAGAGAATAAATGATATTCTTCGGTGAAATATTGGAATTTAAAATTGTTTGCCTACTTTTAAGCGCCTAATTTCAGTATTTTAGTGCTAGAGATTTTAGACGCCTATACTGCGATTGTTGTCCTGTGGCAAATTCTGAAATCTGGTAAAAGAGAAACTAAAAAAAACGATATTACTGAATTTCGGAAAAAAAAATCGAATGCGAAAAATCAGGCACCATTGCTCAAACAATAAAGATCAGTTCTTAAGCACATAATAACATAAATATAATTTTTAATGAAAATAGGTGCTTTGATCCTGAAAATGCCAAAGTTTGCTTATATTGCCTAATTTTAGGCTTCAAAAGCTCTCAAACTACTCCACTGTAACATTACAACACTATAATAACATTACTTGTCAGCACGCGTTGCAAAAAGCACGGTTCTCATTTGCAAATTTAAAATCTTTTCATGTTAAGCTTTTTCGAAATTCAAGCTTTTAAATCGCATAAATAAAATTTTTAATGAAAATCGTCAAAGTATGTACCTATTTTCCGTTGCCTATCTTTAGGTTTCAAGAGCTCGAAAAAGTAAAAATAATTTCCTAAACATATAGCAACATAATAATAAATACAACTCTCAATTAGAGTAGTGAGGTGTTTTAAACCTCAAAATATCAAACTTTTAAAGCTTTTTTTTTCTGTTGCATAGCTTTAGGCTTCAAAAACTCCAAAAGCACTCCACTGTAACGTTAAAACTCTTTAATAACGTTGCTTGTCAGCAAGCGCTATATTTGCTAGTAAAAAAGCGCGTGACTCATTAGCAAATTTAAAAGCTTCTTCCTAATTCAAGCTTTTAAATAAATTTCATTCAATTGCATTTTCTGCGCACTAAGTTACTAATTTTTGGCTTCTAGGCGTATGTTTAAATTTTTTTTATAACTGTAGCTATAGTCAGGCATATCTTCAATCTTAATATCGCAGCTAATTCCGAGCTTTTCCGTTATTTGCATTTTTTTAATACTGTAATTAGTTTTTTTTTTCTGAGTATTTTTATATTGCAGTGTTTATTTTATTTTCATTAATTTTACTTTAAGTTTTCTAATTTTTTTTGCATTTTTTCGCCTGCTTAATTTTGATTTAATTTTTTTGTAATTAATATCTATATCATTCAATTATAGTTTTTTATGCGCAAACTTTTTAATATCTCTTAAATATTTTCACTACTACTTTAGAAATGTACTTTTTATGCTATTTGCTCAATTTTTAAAATTTACACAATACTTAAGTCAACGCTTAAAATACTAGTTAGTTTCGTGTAGGTATTGGTTTCTATTAAAAATTTAAATGTTTCGTAAAGTAAAAATAAGTTTCTAATAATTCACACTCTCTTGCAAGGAAAAAATTTTATGAACTCAAAATAATAACTACTGGTCCTTTCAAAACTTTTTGGTTTTCTACAATAAAGAAATAAAAAATTAGTATGCTTTTAGGCGTTTTCCATTTGGTTAGTGCCTTAAAGAGCTTTTTTCAAACTCCGTTTAATAATCTTAGTTTTTGTTTTTCAAAATAATGCCTAAATTTGTTAAGTCATGAAATATATTCAAAAATTATTTTAATTAATCTTTGGTTTTGTTTCGCTTTGTCTACTTTTTGGCGCTCGTGCTGTTGTTGCTTTTGTATTTATTTCACAACCATAAAAATTTGTAATTTTCGACTTGTTTGTTTTATTGTATGTAATTTTGATTTTGCGATGCCCGAAATACTGTTGCATAACTTCAAAATTATTCAAAGCAAATCATAGTAAGTAATCAAAACTGCTTGAGCCTACTTTCAGGCGTTTGAGTGATTTCCACTCTCCCAGTTATTCAAAGGAAATTAATCAATATTAAAGCATTTTCGTAACTTTATTGCTGTTGCATATCACTACCACCGCCATTTCCAAGTCCAGCTTTCGATTCGGGCGGCACCTAGTTGGAAAAGAGAGTTCCAAGAATAAAGCTAAACAAATTCTCATTACAAACATAGTTACATAAATATAAATAACAACACGTATACATTATTAAGGTTTATAAAAACATAAAAATATATGCCATAATTTGGAAAAAAAAAATTGCTGTATAAAGCTTGTAACTGCGGTCAAAAAATAAATGGTACTAAAAAAGCGAGCAAAATTTTAGGCGCTTAAACAGTTCAAAAACACTGTAAGTTTTGGAAAATAGCGAAACTTAGCAATAACAATTAGTAGCAAAAATTATATAAGAGCTTATTAAGCAAATAAATACATATGTAACGGGTAATCCAAGTGGAGGTACTTTTTTCAATAACCTTTTTTTTTTTTTTGATAGATTCGCCATTAAATTTGTAGTTTCTGTGTTTTTTCTTTAAAAAAGTGGAAACCTTCGAATTAGATCACCCTTTATATATGGTAGAAAATAAAGTATATAAGTTTGGTTCATATTTTTCACAATAATTGTTTTTGGTTATATATATGTACGAGTATTAAATGCATGTTTGTCTTGATGCAGTTTATATTTGTATTTTTGCTAAGCTGATTTTTATAAAGCATACTACAGAAAATCTTATAAATGCTTAGTTAGTGAGTTAGTAAAAAGTAAAATTTTACAGTTGTTAGTAAATATTAAGAAAATATTTTGTTACATTTATTTCAAATATAATTACATGCCAATATGCGGAGTTCATATTTTCTATTGAAGCTGAAAAAGCACAGCACGTATCAGTGTTGCATTTGAGCTTAAGATGGATTGATGTCTACCTGCTTCGTATGTAAAATTATTATATACTTAATGCAGAGTTCTGTGTTCTCAAATTTTCTGCTTACTTTATGGACATTTAGGTACAGAAAGACGTCCAAAACTATGGTCTTAAGCCTAAAACTCAGAAAGCTCTCTGTTTAGTTTGTGAAACTAAGAGAGAGGTTTTAGTTAATTGCTTTAAGCTGGATTAAAACTATTGTTATATGTAATATCTAGTTTTGCAGGCTAACAAGTTCTAAGCTTTCTACATCTTTTACACACATTACCTTTTTGTTGATTTCAAAGCTGCTTTTGGCAGCACGAAAAGGAGCCTTTATGCCGTTATGTCTGAATTTGGTATCCCCCCAAAACTAATACATAAACGTGTAAACTGACGTTTAGCAATAAAAAAAGCTCCGTCAAGATCGGGAAGGACTTCTTCGAGTTGTTCGATACCAAACGAGGTTTCAGACAAGATGACTTCTTCAATTTACTACTAAAGAAAGTAATTCGAGCTACAGAACTAAATAGAGAAGGTGCCATCTTCTAAAAAATATTACAGCTGCTGGCGATATTGTTATCATTGGTTTCAACAACTGCGCCGATAGTTCTGCATTCTTCAGAATGGATGAGGATAAGCAACTAGGTCTGGTAGTGAACGAAGGCAAGACGAAATATCTCCTGTCATCAAACAAACAGTTATAGCACTCGCGACTTGGCTCTCACGTCACTGTTGACAGTCATAGTTTCGAAGTCGGTAGATAATTTCGTCTATCTTGGAACCAGTACTAACACCAACAACAACAATATCATTCTCGAAATCCAACGCATAATAACTCAGACTGTGTAGGTAATCGCCTCTCGACGATACAAAGACCAAACTCTCACTCATCATCCTTGTCCTACGATATGGTGTATCTGATGATTCGGCGATACGAGTTTTCGAAAGAAATATACTGCGCAAAATTTATGTTCCGCTACGCATTGCCAACGGCGAGTATCGCAGTCGATGGAACGATGAGCTGTATGAGATATACGACGTCATTGACATATTTAAGAGAATTAAGATTCCAGCTCTGAGAGTATTCGAAACAGTACGCGCCGGGGGAAGCAGAAGATCCTTTGGAAAGAGTAGGTAGAGGAGGACCTGGCTGCACTTGGAATATCTAATTGGCGCTTTTGTAAACGTGGCTATAACCACGTAAGCGGTGTCTTCGCATTTATTTTTACGAGGATATCAACCAGCTGGGCAGCCGGACCTTCCCAATTAAGGGACCGGATGTTCCAAATGCATGCCGTCAAATCGTCATACTTAATGCGTTTGTCATGTTCGTCATCAAAAGTGGGTTCTCTTATCTGAGGATGTTGTTTCCTCTTCATTCGGGGCGTTTTTTACGTGGCAGGTTCCAAACCCAACGTAGAACCCTGGGGATTGGTTCATCTCCTCACTTTAGCTCGACTTCAAATGGATGTTCTTTGGCTAGCCATAGAATACATGGTCTAAAACCGGAAGTTGTGATGTGTTTGAGCCATATGTTAAATAATCGTTTCTGGCCACTCCCAAGTGAATGGCGCTCAGACAAACTTTCCTCGCTTGCGTGAACTTCTACACATGACGCTATCCTTCAGCAAATTCGGCTTCGGAAATATTGCACCAGGCAAAAAGTCTGAAAATGGAGTTGATAGAAATCTCTGCCAGCAACGTTCTTCTAAAGCTTTGATCTATCCATAAAGCAGTTCACTCCCCATTCTTTCTCGGCAGAATATGGTCGAAGAAATAACTGTGTTTCGTTTGGCCGAATTCATGATCTAAGAGATCCGCTCTAAGCGTATAAGGATTTCCGAGTGTTCATTTATGTGTTATGTGTTCATTTAGAAACCAAGATTATCTGAGTCTGATGAGGGCCATCCGCTAAACACTCTCGAGTTTCTTTGTAAGTGTGATCCTTTCTAGAGCTCTGCATTATACAAAGACGCTATTTAACACAATGGGATTGAGTATAGTGTCGTAGAGACAGAGGACCTCTTTCGGTATAATTTTTTTAATGGCGCCTCTGCCGCAGTATAAGGCAATTAATCAATGACTTCTTTGCTCTCTCCGGATTCGGCTTCCTATCCTATCCTAAATACTTTACTGTATCAGCCGGCCGCAGACGAATGCTTTCTATTTGCGGTAACGGTGGCTCCAGGATCACGCATGTTCTGGTAAATAAAAACATCTCTGATTTATTATGGTTGATAGTGAGACCACTTCTGACTGCTCATAGAAGAGGAGAAAGAACTCCATTTCCGTTTTTCTGTTTTGCTTCAATCTCTCTGTCGCACAGAAGACTGAGATTAGATTCAACCATAAGAGCACCCAGAATAGTTTAGACTGTTTCCTGCAGGGCGCTGGAGAGAAAGCTTTCAACTATTAATATCGAGGGAGGTCGCAACAGCTGTTCTTTAAACCTTGTGGTTTAAAGCCAAGACACGATAAAATTTGGGGCAGTGTCCGCTGATCTCTCTTTGTAATACCGAACGAAGTTGGCGGTTGCCAACCAGCGATTAAAATCGAATAGTCAGGCTCCGAAGCTAAAACCACAGCAAGTTAAATTTTTTCAGCGAAGAAAGTGAGACAAATTTTTGTGTAGATATCTATAGCATGTTGATTTTATCTTTTAGAAAATCTTTCTCCCTCCCTCTATTTGCTTTATAACTATATTAAACGATTTAATTGCTTGAAAAAATATAAAAACCATAGACACCACATATAATGCTAGGCACTTAATATTAAGCGTCGCAAGACACATTGAAACATTCATATGTACTTCGATATTCAACAACAACAAAAACATTGACTGACACCAAAAACACAACGAGTATGAGACATTTATAAAGCAATCAGCATGGATTAAAATAATTTTGGGATACCTTAAATAATGGATCTCACATACACGATACCAACGTGTGTCTTTCTATATGGGTATGTGTGTGCGATGAAGACACTCGCATAACTTCGCGTTTAAATGTTTACATAGAGACTATGAAAGTCTAAGAAATCCGCGGAATCTGTTTGATTACTCAGTTGTTGCTCAAGCTGGATGTTCGATTTGGAGAGGTTATGAAATGATTGTGAGAGGAGAAATAAATGTGAGTAGAGTTTTATTTTAAATAATAAAAACATCAAAATTTTGAATTGTGTTTGAAATAAATAATTAAGAATTAAATAATTATTTCAACAAAAATTAAAAATTGAAAAAATAAATTAAAATTGAAAAAAATGTAAAATGTAAAGAAACAAAATTTTCCAGTGCAACAGTGTGACAGACAGAGATAGAGATATACAAAAAAATATAGACAGATAGATAGATAGACAAATAGAGTGATAGTCATAGCAATATATAGTTGTTGTAATAGTAGTGTGATAAGAACAAGGGAGAAAAAAAGTATTTTATTTAAAACTGTGAGACAAAAAGTGTGTTTGCTTGTTAAGGAGATTGGTATAAAAGTTAGCAAAGGGTATATTATAAATATTTACAAATAAATAAGCGTATCAGTGTTAAAGCAAAAGTTGAGTGAGGAAATATTTTACAAATTAAAAACTAAAAAAAGTGTATAAAAACGTATGGAAACCACAAAACTCACCAGCTTCTTAAAACAGTCCTCGAAGAAACTCGTCATTGAGCGGTAAAGATGCCGTTTCACGCCCGACAGTGTGTGCCCCTCATCGGGGTAAATTTGCTGTTTGTACAGTACGCCTTTATTGGTGAGCGCACGCGCTAATACCATCGATTGCTGCACATGTACATTATCATCGGCGGTGCCGTGCACCAAAAGGAATTGACGATCGCGTAAATTATCCACGTACTTGGAGAGATCACCCTCCTCGTAGCCTTTGTAGTTATCGGTTACGTTCGGGAAGCTAAGATAGCGCTCAGCGTATGTAGAGTCTAGGGATGTGGACGAAAATAGAGAATTTCGAAAACTTATAAGTTAATAGTTCTAAACTGTTTTCCAATTATTCAAAAAATATAATTATAGTTTTTGAAAATTAACCCATGGGTTGATTATGGGTGTCCCAAAATATTTCTGAACTTTTTAAAAATTTCAAAGACTTATACGCTAGCATGTGTGAAAAAAACTTGTTTCAATTGTCCTAAAAACTTAAAAGAGTTTATGTAAAGTATAAAAATATTAGTACAGTTGTTAGGAAGTGTCCCAAAGATTTTTTGTTGTCCCAAAAAAAGTCTAGAAGTAATTTTAACTGTCTCAAGCTTATATAATATGTTGCATTCAAATTGTAATTCAGTCTCTATCAAATATTCCAAAGTTTATTTACTGTCCCAAACATTTATAAAAATATTTTTTAACTGTCTCAAAAATTTATAGTAGCTTATATTCTGTATGCAATTTGTAGATCACTGAGTTATAAAAAACTTTTGTTTAATCAAATTCTGGTTAAGTCCTTAAGAAAATGACCCAAATAATTTTTTTGTTCCAAAAATATCTAGAACTCTTTTTTAAGTTTCTCAAAAATAAATAATAATAATCAGTCCCTAAGAAAGTATCCCAAAGTTATTTTAATGTCCCAAAAACTCTTTTTTAACTTACAAAAAAAATTTCGATCGCTTATACGTTATATACAAATTGTAGTTCAGTACCCTAGGAAGTGTCCCAAAGTTTTTTAACTGTCCCAATAATTGAAGAAAATTTTGTAAGCGCCTTAAAAATTTATAATAGCTTATATTTTTGATGCAGATTGTAGTTCGGTTGCTAATAAGTGTCCCAAAATATTTTAGTTTCCCAAAAATGCATAAAATTTATATTACACAAACATTTTACTCTACACTGTTATGTGTTCAAAAATGTTGTAGAATATTTCGAAGTTAGGAAGCAGAACTACTTGATAGGCCTTGTCCCAAAGTGGAATAAAGGTTTTTAATAACTAATGAATTTGAATTTGCAAATTTTACATTACACGTGTAAAATATAATGAATTCATGCTGTCCCAAAATTTATTCAAATTGTCCCAAAAGTTTGCTTTTCGATTCTAAATTTATCGCTAATGATATAAAATTGTATTGTACCATCAAATTTAAGAGAAACCTCTCTTTAAAGATTTTAAAAACTGTCCCAAAGCAAAATCAGATTTAAATTCGATTGAATGGCCAGAAAAATATTGAAGATTTAAATGGTTAGTTCGCTGTCTCAAAACAGGTATATGCGTTAAGTTCAATAGTAAGTGTCCCAAAATTAAGTGAATTTTCACATTCAATATATGTTCGCGAAGAAACTAGCTATTTACATTTGCTTCATTCTGTCAAATACATGTAGCAGTTTATTCTTAATGTCAGAAAATATTCGTATAAATGTATTTTGACTTGTCCCAAAAGTGTCCCAATTTTTCAAGACGATAGATTCTACTTATAAAAGTGGTGTATATTACTAAAACTACTTTTTATTTGAACTTCTAATTATTGAAAAATGTCCCAACATGCTTTTGACCCTAAATTGTACTAATAAAAAATCCCATCTTCTCGCCACGTCTTCTTCAGGAGGATGGAGCCGTGTGTAAAAGTTCACGCAAGTGAGAAAAGTTCTCTGAGGACTAGGCACGGAGTTAACTAGGGAGTGGCCAGAAACGATTCTTTCACACGTGGCTCAAGCTGCTCATGACTTTCGGTCTTAGACTAAGTATCCGCTGGGTCGCTTTTTGTACCTTTCCCCATAAAAAAAATAATTTTTTTCCATAATCTCACATCTCACATTTGCCACTACTACTCACCGTAAAGCTTCCAATTCGTCACCGGCGACACACTGATGCCGCATTGAAAGATTGACTGTGTGCCCGCCAATGCCAATGCGGCCGTATAACCGCCATAACTCCAGCCCCACACACCCATACGTCGACCGTCAATAAAATGCAAATTGTCACGCAAATATTCACTCACTTCCAGCTGGTCGGACACTTCAACCGAACCGAGACGCTTGTAGATCTCATGTAACAGCTGATAACCCTGTCCGGCTGAACCACGTCCATCGATCTCAATGACTATATAATCCTTCGTCCCAGACAAATAAGTATTCCAATCGATGTGCCACTTCTCCGTCACTAGTTGTGTACCTGGCCCTGAGTACACGTGCAGTATCGTCGGGTAACGTGTAATCTCATCCTCACGTAGCACCGGCGGCAAATACAGACGAACCTGCGCATGATAACCGCCCGATATCATGACCGGGAAAGTTTTTATCTGTGGCAGCGCGGTACGCAACATCTTCTCCTTCAAACGCGTATTATTCTGCACAGTCACAAGCAGTTCCAAAGCTTCACTTTTCTTCGGTAACAACTTCTTACCATACTCGCCAGTGTAGAAGCCCGTGAGCGCGTAAACACTGGTGGTCGGCACCACTGGACCCAAACATTCGATGAGCACATAACGCGCCTGCAGCGCCAACGGAAATTTGGCTGTGTGATAGAGACATTCATTGTGCTCCGARTGGCCGTGTGATGCCGTCGGATGCTTGTGTTCCGGCGTCAACGTAGGTGGTGGTAAAGTTTGACGCTCTTCCGAGTCCTCCCAGTCGTCATCCCAAGCGGTCACCAGTTTCGGTGGTGATTTGGTATGACCTTCAGCGCCCTGATAGCTGTTGCGCAATGGGGTCGGACACGTTAAACAGTCGGGCAGTTGGTGTGCCGAACCGTGTCGCGGTGGCAAAGCGGACACGCGATACAGGTGCTGTTGTCCCGGCAAGCGTTCCGGTGTGCCCAAAAAGTAGCTGGAGAGTGAGAGAGGGAGAGAAAACACAGAGTGCATGTTGTATGAACGGTAAAAATTGAAGGAGGAGGCGTAGTATTTTAGAAATGCTATTGAGTAATCGAGTACTTACATCCAATTATTCAGCTGATCCCAATGTAGCAACTCATTGACCTCGTACTGTCCGTGTGTTAGTGGTAGTACGCGCTTTTTGGCAACATGAACATGCACAATATGCCGGAAGTAACCTAGTGAATGGTAAATAAATCAGAAATTTTGGAAAAATGGGAAAAATTATGAAAGCAAAGCGGTTGTGGGTTTTCAAACTCACCGGAAGCGCCGTCACGCAATGGCGATATGGCAACATAGGAAGTTGCATTCGCTGCAAACAATGGCACCGATACTGTGTCCACCCAACCGCGTCCGTCGCCGCTCACACGATGTGTCTGCGTTGGTCACGCACATTATTTTACCAAACAGTCGAGTTCGAAGTAATATAAATAAAATAAATCGCAGGATAAGTTTCAGTGGTATTATATTTTGATAAATTACACTTAACAACGAGTGACACTAAATCTAACACGGACACATATTCTGTTAAAGTACATACGTACACGTGCCTACCCTCTAGGAAATACGATGAGTTTAATGGGCCGAAAAAATTTATTATGACTATCAGGAATTGCTGTCGGAGGTCAAGTCCATTTGTATGTGTTCGTCTTTTTAGATCGTTGATGGTCATATGGCACTCACTTGATCACTTTATAAAGAATTTAATGTCTAAATGAAGGGTCTACGAGGCATGGACGATGACAACATCCGATGAGGCGGCGTTACGAGTTTTCGAGAGAAAGGTTCTGCGGAAGATTTATGATCCGGCGAATACCGCGTAAGCGCTCTTTAGGTCAGTAAAGAAGAAGAATCTAGGAAAGATGGTTGAAACTTATATTAACCGTCTTTACAAGTTTCTGACTTTTTCCCATTCTAGAAAACAGAACTAAGCGCGGTTGCTAAGGCCAATGATATCATGTTCATCAGCGTACGCTAGAAGCTGTAAACTCTTGTAGACGATGGTACCTTCTCTGTTTAGTTCTGCAGCCCGAATTATTTTCTCCAAGAGTATATATTGAAGAAGTCACATGAAAGGGAGTCGCTTTGTATCGAACGGCTCGGAGAGGTCCTTTCCTAGATTACAGAGTCTCAGAGTTATCAGAAACCCAAATCACTAAATCGAGTATCCACGTTGGAGCAGGTGGTTCATGGAATAAGTTTTTGCAAGAGTATCCGATCGTTAAGTTAAATAATGTGTTCAATGAGGTGGTTCATGGAACAAGTTTTTTCAAGAGTATCTGATCGAGTTGCAAGAACTGTGTTGTCCTTCGATGTCAACTTAGGAACCACAGTGCCAAATTTTAATTGCCGCGTGACTTATTTTTTCAAAGAAGGTTTTTAATCCATATCTAGACCTTTCCTGTACATTAAAATTTTTTTTAGATTTTCCTAGAGGATATATTCTGCTACAAACCATATCATTTAGCACTCATTCTATCTCTCACTCTCTTGTATTTTTTCATACTCCTACAATTCGCCTTGTTAACCTTACTTACCTCAACGCATATAAACAATGGACTCTTACAGATGCTGACCACCGAAATATTCTGTGGACGATTCAGCCAAACCACACAGATTTCCGTTTCACTAACCCAACTGGCGCTGCTAAAGTAGTGATCTCTATGCAATCGAATCACAAATTGAGTTGCAAGCGTACAAAGAAATAAATGAATGTTTATGTTGGTATAATTATTAGTGAGAGTTCTACTGAAACATTAAGTGATAAAAATAGTTTTCGCACTCGCATAAAATAGTGCTCAAAACTTGATTGATCACTCGATGATATACTTATTTCTCAACACGGCTATGAATGTACTGTTAAATTTGATTTATTTTTATAGCATTCATTCAATAAACTTTTTAATTCAACATAACCTCAACATTTTATATAAAACTGTGCATAACTACTTATTTAAGATATATATTTACTTGATATATGTATATTTCTATTGTAGTTTTTGTACTTACTCATTTTGCAGTACTTGTGGCGGTTGTAGATCTCTTATTTTAATATCTTCCGGATTTTGTATATCGGCCACGCGTAGCTTGGCAATGGGATTTTGTGTGCCTGGTTTAGGATATCTGCAAGTAAAATTTCAAGTATGTATGAAATATTTAATGAATAAATATTTTAATTTGATACTTAATTCAACATACACGAGTAAAGTTCGATGTCGAGAAACTGTAATCACAACAGACAGCCGAACGATTTTCTACTCGGCTTACACTCATGCTCTCTGAGACCAATCGTCAGCGACTCGGTATAAGGCAACTGTGAGACAGCATTTCGAACTACTTATGTTCAGCTGCAAACGAAACCATTTGTTTTCGGAAAATGCAAAAGAACAGCTGGTACGATGAGGAGTGCTGCCTACCTCGCAACGTTACAATCAACCACAACACGTACGGGATGGGATATATACCAAGAGTTACAGCGCGAAGCGAGACGCATTTGCAGACAATAAAAAAGAGAGGATGAAAAGCGAAAGTAAGAAGAGCTTGACGGTTTCAAAACCTGAGCCTACTGTTTTAGAACCTCTAAATGTCATCGAATGACTAATACCTAGAGCATACTTAAATTATGGAGGAACACGTCTCCAGCCTGCTGAATAGCAGTGAACGCACAATGTCAGGAGAAGGCGAACCCGATTCCCCAACCGATGACGATGGATCAGACGTCCATTACCTGACCAAGTAGAAATACGAATAGCAATTACCCGTCTGAAGAACTGATAAGGAGCATACATCAGCTTTCTTCTAGAATATGGTATGACGAAAGCATGTCCGATGATTATAATTTAAGTGTGCCGTGCCCAATCCACAAAAAGGAAGACCCCACAATTTGCGCGAGATACCATCGCATATAAGGTTCCATCGCGCATATTGTTTGAAAGATTAAAGCTCATGTCAACAAATTGATTGGAATTTATCAGTGTGGCTTTAGACCTGAGAAATCAACAACCGATCACGTATACACCATACGTCAAATCTTCGGATGATCCGTAAGAAGAGATTCGACACACACCACCTCTTCGTCGATTTCAAAGCTGCTTTTGACAGCACGAAAAGGAGCTGCTTTTATGCCGCCATGTCTGAATTTAGTTTACAGCTGTTTAAACTGACGTTGAGCAATATCAAAAGCTCCATCAGGAATGGGAAGCACCTTTTCGAGCCGTTCGAAACATAACGAGATTGCAGACAAGGCGACTCCCTTTCAACTTCGAGTTAGGGAAGCTTAACTGTATATAGTATAATTACTTGGATTCTGACCCTCTGGTTGATGGTTTCCACATTAGCGTATTATTCTGGCTTTGATTTTTGCAAGTGGCAAGTGTATTAAACGTTCGGTTGTATCCAAGCTTAGCCTCGTCTTACTTGCTGGGATTAGAATTACTGCAATTGTAATCATTAATTTTGAACAACACTATTGCAGTCAGAATATAATTTATCACACAAGGAATTATAGCAGGTATTATATATAATCACTTATACATATGTATATACAAACATACAAAAATAACCCAATATTTAACGAGTCACACTTACTTTACATTGTACGAAAGCTCAAATATGTTAAGATATAACTGTTAATGTGCCATTGTGCCTGCAAATTATTTACATAACAAGAATTTTGCTGTCAAAGTACTTAAATACAACACAAAGTCACAAACAGATTTATCTATTATAATTCGTGTGTTTGCAGAAATGCTATTTGTGCATGTTAAATACAATTGCAGTGAATGTACAGCTGTTTAACGCTTGTACAAATAAATATTCGGGCGCATACAAATATTATTTTTCCAAATACTTATGTATATATAATATATAGCATATGTGTAAGTGTGTGACACCCAAAGCATTTAGCTGCAGCCACAACTTAGCACTCACTTATAGATATGCTGACTTAACTGATGCTTAATTGTCATTTAGTATTTCGCTGCGGGTAGCTCACATGTTCATATGCTCATTACAAAAGTAAATTTATAACCTTAGTTTTGCAACATTCGTTGCTTTGTCGTTTACACGTGTCGTCATTAAAAGTCACTCATACGCACTGTTGCACCGTATGGTGCTGCTGGCTTTAGTTTACTGCTTTCATAAAGCTAATTAAATACTCATATACTTAGTTGCTGTTATATTTGCTTGTTCGCCAGTGGCAATTACGAAATACTTTTCGCACATTATACATTTTAGTTATCTTTATTTCTGTTGACTTCGCTTAATAATCCCTCTGTGAGTGGTATTTTGCAAAGTTTTAAGTTTTCGCTGCTGAATGTTATTGTGTGCTTGGTATTGATAAACTGTATATTAAGTTTTGGAAGTAAAAATTGGTAATAATTTTCGTAAAAAGCATATTTTGTGGAGAATTTTATATAATTGCTGTTCGAAGCAGATATTGAGATGCATATTAACAACTCAGAAGATTAATAAGGGAAATACTTTAAGGTGTAAAACGTCAACCAGAGGATCGGATCCAAGGAATTGTATGTATATACTATGTATATACTGATGAACTTCCCTAAATGGAGTCACTATTACACACAAAAAAATTTCGAGCTTTGGCTTCTATGCATAACTTTAGTTCTCTTACAGCTGTCTTTTCTTTTTTTTTTTTTTGTTTTATTTTTTGATTTGCACACCAGTTTCTATAAAACCCTCTCATGAAATTAGTCAACAAAAACGTTCCATTATATTTTGTGTGCTGAATAAAATTTCCGATGCCGACGCATTCAGAATGTTTGGAAAAGTCTTGAGTGATAATGAGCAAATTTTTTTTTACGTCCAGGACGGCCATCAACATCAACTGATCAAGAAGTTAAAAAAAAAATGTGCTTGAGTGTCGACGATTAACAATCAGGAATCTTAATGGCATCGTTGGAATATCGGTGAAATCAACGAAAATCTTTTTGCAATTTTGAAGGATCCTTTACGCTTAAGTAAACGGAAAGCACGATTGATTCCAAAATCACTAAATTTGTTCAAAAAAAACATTATCGCGTTAAGTTCTGTTAAACAATGCCTCCGTCTACAGGGAGGTTATGAAACGTATTGTAACTAACAGTGAGTCTTTGATCTATGTTTACAACCCAAAAAAAAAGATCAATCGGCCGAATATTGCGGCAAAGGTGAGCTTAAGCGGAAAAAACTACGTCCAAGCTGGCCCTGAATCAAGGTTATGTTGACAGTTTTCCTCTATTCAAGTATTTGCGAGAAGCTATTTGTAAAACTTAATAGTCGAGAAGTTTTGGTTTTAGCACCACGAAAATGCAACTTCGCATACTACAGGGTGGCTGATGAAAGCCACTACCAAAAAAAATCTAAATAACTTTTTTTCTATTTAATGAATCTGGTTAATTTTTGTTTTTATTTTGCAGACTGACCGTTACATTTAACAATAATGAGACTTGTAAACAGTTTTGTCGAACATGGGACAGTCAACAGAAGACCTTACCATCGAAACCCTTCAGTTCGAACGGAGGAAACAATCGCTGCTGTAGCTGCTGCCATACAAAACAATCCACGTGTTTTGACAAGAAGCTTATCTACAGAAATGGGTGTAAGCAGATAGTTATTACAGTCAATTATGCACAAAGATTTGGACTTATTCCCATAAAAAATTCAAATGGCCAACAAACTGAACGCTGCAGACTTGCCGATTCGCTTGGAATTTTGCAGAAGAAGCAGCTTCAACTGGTGGAAGAGGATGGAATCATGTTGAACTGTCTTTTCATGTCTGACGAGGCCCATTTCGATTTAAACGGCAATATAAACAAACAAAATTGTCGAATATGGAGTGCTTCCAACCCACAGATACTCCATGAGACGGAATTGCATCCACTTCGTGCCATAGTGTGGTGTGCAGTTTCATCACGGGCCCTACTTCTTCGAAGAAAACGGTCACGGTTACTGGAGACCGTTACTTGAGCATGTTGAGAGAGTTTTTCTATCCAGAATTACGCCGAATGAGAATTTCTTTCAACTCTGTGTGGCTTCAGCAAGATGGTGCAGTTCCTCACATAGCCCAACCTGTTATGACAGAAATGCGACCAAAATTTCCCAATAAGTTGATATCAAGAAACTCCACATTCCGTTGGCCACCCAGGTCGCCTGACCTTACTGCATCTGACTTTTTCTTGTGGGGTTATTGCAAACAGGAAGTTTACAAAGCAAAACCAACAAGTTTGAATGAACTAAGGCAATCCATTCGAGAAACAATTGCGGCTATTCCTGTCTCAACTCTCCAAGCAGTAATGAACAACTTTTTGGTAAGATGCCGCACATGCATCAACGAGCAGGGGGTCATTTAAATTCCATTATGTTTAAAACTAATTAAGCTATATTTAATAAAATTAAATTAACATGAATAAAAGAAAAATGAATTCCATGCACTGAAAAAAAAAATTAATAAAGTTTCTTAATGTAGCAAAATTCATCAGCCACCCTGTACTTCGATTCTTCGGGAGTTTTTCGCAAAATTTTCAACTAATCTAGTGCCGCAACAGAAACTTGATTGGTAAGATACCTACAGCGTCTTATGCTATAATGTACTCTTTGCGGAGATAAGAACCTCATGACAATTGTTCAGGGTATTAAAATGTACCACGAGTGATCTTATATCGTTGATGGTATGACTCTGAATATGATCTTCATTAGTTCGAGATAACATATGAATGTCGTCAAGTTCAGTTTAAGGCATTTGTATAGTTTCTCTTTTCCTTTTTTGTGTAGGTTTAGAAATTATAGATTTTTAATATGAGATGAATTTGTATATACATAAGTATGTCATTGAAGGTAGCATATACCCATTGGGTAAAATAATGTGCGATGCTGAGTAAATATTGAGAATAAACACACATCACAGATTTTCTGAGGCGCAGCTTCCAAAAAATTGCTGCATTTAGGTAAATCATAGTGTGAAGGTTTTCAAATTGTCTGCAAATGATGAAAGAATGGCCAAAGGAAGTCTAAGCTTGAACGGCTCTAGTATTGATTATCAGAGTAGTTAACTTCTTGATGAAATTCCATAATATTTTGCAATATTTTTCAATACTCGAAGTACTACTTATTCATCGAACTATTATAGATATGACGATAAAAATGTTTCAAGATTTTGTAAGATTTTTGAAAATTACATTGGTCAAAAAAGCTTATAATTGTGAATGAATGCTTAAATTGCATCGTTGGCTTTATTAATTCTAATTTTGCTAGAGCCTTTATACTCAAACTACACATAGCATATATATGTATGTATGACTGCGTATGGAATTAAAAGCTGTGTGAATAAGCTTCCTTAGGCAAATGTGTAACGGAAAGCATTTAACTGATGGTTTCGGTAATAAAGGTACCAAATGACTGAATATCGGTATTTAGTGGTATTTAATGTTCTATGCTAAGCGTGTAGGAAAAGTAGGTACGAGTTTTGCTTGAGGTCTATAGGCTTTTACATGTAATTGTCGTGTGTATGTATTCTCTATAATATTGCCAACTTAATGCTTGCCATATTTTATGGCATAATGCTCTAGGCTAAATGAAATATGTGGAATGCATGGTAGTTAACTAATAATAAACTTAAACAAGCATAATATATTAATATATTTAGTAAGCACATTACGAAGTTCTTGGCTCATATGATTTCAGTGCTTCACGCCAAGATGAGTCTACTTTAATTGAATTTCAATAAGCAGTTAATAAGCAATACGCTTATTAAAATGTTTCTCAACAGCAGGTGGCACTTAACTTCATATTTCTACATACTTAAGTACTTGAGTAATATAAGTACATTTCATAATTACATTCCAATGTGATTATATGGAATTGCAAGTGCTTCTGTGGGATTGTGAAGCTATGCGATTATATAAATATGTTTGAATGCCTGCTAGCTTTTGTAGTATTTGTTATTTACTTAAATTTTGCATTGCTTCTCCTCTCTCGGTATATCTAGGAGAGAACTTCTTTGCAAAAAAATAATAAGGGCTGAAATAATGGCTTATTTTATGATATTAATAAGAGTTACCATTCATCTTTTGAATTCCCTGTTCACATGATGTATGGGCGCTTAAAATATCGTAAAGTAACCCATTACTACATCCAACACTGTTTTTTCCTAGAAAATCATTTCCCCCAAAAGCTTCTACTTGCAAAAAGTCCTTACTCTGTGAGAGGTATAAGTAAAATTGAAGCAGTTATTAAGGAGTTGGATTAAAAAAACAACACATGAATAGGTAATATAAGGATCACTATATTATTTTTAAAGCAGAGTTTTTGATCCAAATGAAGTTATAAATTAAATCTCTTTACAAAAACAACTTTCCTAAAAGCTTAAAAACTTGTTCATTAACCTGGATGCATTCTTATTTGATCTTGTTACTGTAAACATAGAAGATGCGATATCAGGACCACGTGGCTGTATAATCCGGATTCCGTAAAATCAGGTTTGTAGTTTTTTATTTTTTATACTAAATTAAGTTGGTATTCATTTTACGCAAATTTTTACCGGACTTCAGTTTTGAGTTCCGAATCACCGGGATCCCGAAAGATCGGTATTGCATTTTTGTAAAAAATATAGTTGCTATTTAATTATACATACATTTTCGTCAGACCTTACTTTTTAATCCAAAATTCACGGGATCCCGAAAAATCGAGATTGCTTTTTTTACCAAAAAATGTTGATACTTAAAACTATATTAGTTTCCGTCAGACTTTATTTTTGAATGCCGAAATATCGTTATCCCGAAAAATCGGGATTACGTTTTTACTAAATAAAGCAGATATTTCAATTTAATCCCGAAATTCCGGGATCCCGGAAGATCGGTACTGCGTTTTTGTTTAGTAAATACAGTTGCTATTTAATTATACATAAATTTTCGTCAGCCTTTACTTCTGAACCCCGAAACCTCTGCATCCCGAAAATTCGGGATTGAATTTTTTACTAAATAAAGTTGGTATTTCAGTCTATAACATTTTTCGTAAGGTTTTATTTGTAAAATCCTAGTTTCGGGATCCCGAAATATCGGGATTGCAATTCTTCTACGAAAAGTTGATATTTCATTCTACATTCAAATTCGCCAAACTTTACGTTTGAGATCCGCATCTCTGGGATACCGAAATATCGTCATTGCAGTTTTTACTAAATAATGTTGATATGTCATTCTACAATTTTTCTACGACTTTGGTTTTGTGCAAAAATTCTATTATATAATCTTTGTATAAAATTGCTCTTACACTCACTTCTTCGAGTAGCTTTTCCATATACACACAGAGACTAAACTCTTCACCAATTCATTTGAAATGCAAATTGCCTTCTACATAGTCACAATGTCATTCTGCTCACCTTAATGATCTGATTTCCGGATAAAGATACGCATTCGGATTGCCACCACTTGTTGTGCCATACCAAGCGAAATGTTGTTCTTGCACCAGCGAGTCATTGAAAGCGCCATAAAGCATTAAGTGTCCATTCTCCGAAAGCCAAATTGCATTATTCGAGTGCAGGATTTCCTCTACAAAGCACAAGTGGCAGGCAACGGCAGTTGGAATCAGCAGCAGGAGCCGTAGCAAGGCCAGCAACAGCAGCAATGATGGGTAGGCCAGTGAAGAGGTTGATCGGACAAGTGGTCATTGAAGAGCGTGTTGGACGCCGCATATTTTTGGAATTTCAATTACGATTTACACAACGCATCGTGTGTGTGTGTGTTGAACACAGTCAAGGCCAGCAAGCCATTGGCCAGTGGTTAGCAGGTGTGCAGCAAGAAATATTGATTAATAAAAAGCAAAAAAAAAAAAAAAAATAGAAACGGAAATTCAATTTTCAATTTAAATCAATCTAATCGTATGCGCAATCAATGAGAATGAATACATGAATTGGAATGATGTACAAAAGTGAATACAAATGCAAGCCAGCTGGTCTGTGTTCAGCAGCCATCAGCCACCGGCCACTGATTATACTCACCTTCATAAAGCCAATCTGGTATGCCGTTGTAGACGATACCAGGCACTGCGTCGCGCGTTATGCGGTACACATGATTGGTGGAGCGTGGTCCTTGGCAGTAGTAGATGTCATAGTTGTAGACCATCACTAGCGCATTGCCACCGGTTGTGGTGCTGGTGGTGCTTGCATTGTCTCTGTTAGCCGCTTGAGTGGTTACGAAGCGGGCATAGTGTAGATAGGGCCACTCGTCGCTATGTGAATCGATTTTCAACTTGATGCTTTCACTGGAAGAACGAAAGAAGCAAAATGATAAGAGTGAACGAATAGAAAAAAGTATGAGCATGAGTTGTGTTGTGCTGCGGAAGTCCAAGCTACAGTTTGGCAGTCAACAGTTTGCGTCCCTCTTGCTATTGTTATTGCATATCTATTTATAGACCAAAATATAATATATGTGCGAGCGAATGCCGGATAGCGAAGATGAAAATACGGAAATAGAGTGGCAAAGGAAATGACAATAGCTGAGCAGCTGCTTTTTGGTTCGTTTACAAGTAGCCATGAATAGAAATTGAATAAACTTTTCAAGATATAGTAAGTCATTGGCTGAAAACACAATTTATGGTCACGGCTCTGATTGAATGGGAGAGAAAGGGGGGAAAAAGGTTAAATTAAGCTATGTCAACACAAAAAGATAAACAGGAAATACAAGTTCAAAAGAAATACTAAAATTATTTTTAGTTAAGGACCAATCGAGCTATGGATTAAATGTGGAAAAAAAAGAAGTCGCTGTTCATATGTTTGGCCGAAAAACTAATACTTTCGCGTACTACTCTAAAAAAAAATAAGTTCTTAGACACCGCTAAAAAAGTCTCTCCAAGTATGAACTCTTAATTGTAACGGTTTTCTATTTTTTTTAGTATCTGATAGAATATTTCATATCAGACTACAAGCTCATTTCTTGAAATAATGCTCCCTAAGATATTCATCGTATGCTGCAGGATGAACCTTACTAAAACCAAGAAGTTTTATCCCTCATATTCTCATTTTCATTAAACAAAGGATAAAATCGAACAAACGGAAGACCTCCACTCCGTTGGAAGCATCAAATGGAGAAGTATCTGGCTACGCTTGGAATATCCAATTGGCGCCACGTAGCGAAAAGAAGAAACCACTTTCGCGCTGTTGTTAACTAGGCTATAATCGTGTAAGCGGTGTCTACCTCAATTAAGAAGAAGCAGAGTAATTTGTAGCTTCCGACAGCATTTATATTCATTTATTTCAACACTATTCCCGGTACTCACCTGGTTTGTATATCGAAGAGCGTGTATTGTGCCAAAAATGAATGCCGAAAAAGTTTTACGACATTCTGTGCCAATAAGATATAGCGCTTATCCGCTGATATAGAAAATGTATATGGTGCAAGTGTTTTCTGTAAGCAGAAAAATTTATGAGAAATGTTTGTATGTATACTCAAATTGCTTGTAATTGATTTAAGAAGCAAATTTATATTTGTGTGTGCTCTGGAAAATGTACTTAAAAATTATTTGCATTATTCTGCCAAAAGCACAATAAGCAAACAAATGATAAATTTCGCCTTTTTTCTTTGCTCTTTTGTTTGTATTTTCTGCTAATTTTAATGCCTTTTTAAATGGTTTATAGCGCATAAAGCCTGTTCATGTTTCTCTCAATAATTTTTGTGCATTTTCATTACATTTCTGCGGTTTTGCGGCTATTTGACCAACACCACAGGGAGTTGCTGCTGGCACTAGTTGAAATGCATTAACTTTCATATACACAGCATATGTATCGTTATGTACGCGTACTTTGCTCTTTTTTATAACGCCGCAATATGTTTTGGTTTTTACTTTTACTTTTGATTTTAATTTATTAATTATTCATTAGTTGGTTGTAAAGTGCAATGCATACATTATGCTAAATAATAAATTAGCACTTTTTGTTGACTTTCAAAAGTAAATGGTTAATGGTTTGCAATTAATGTCACTGTACCGGGTTTTCCAAGAGGGATGATAGGACTTCTAAGTGTCGTTTCGGATATTATTAATATGTAATGAATGGGACTTAGGAGTGGACAGAAACAATTCTTTTACATATGGCTGAAGCAGCTCAAAACTTCTGGTCTGGGTAGCCAAAGAACATCTGTTTGAAGTCGAGCCATTCCTCCACAATACTATGTGCTTGGTTTGGGACCCGCCCAAGTTTGCGCCTCGAAGTCGTCGATAATTTCGTCTATCTTGGAATCAGGCTATAAGTCACTCATTATTCCCAACCGTTTCTTGAACTGATGGAATCATCAAGCCGTACTTCTTTCGCAATAAAACTGGTGACACTGTTACTGCCAGTGCAGAGCAGTATAGATCGATGATAACGAACTTTTTATGCCTAAAATTGGAAGTAGTTGATCTTGACAACATCTGGTTTCAACAAAATGTGGCTACATGCCACACAACACATGCAAGAACCGAATTATTGCGAGAAAAGTTTGAAGGTTAGTTTATTTTAAGAAATTGTGATATTAAATGGCTTCCGAGAAGTTGTGATTGTAAACATCGTTATACTACTGTTTGTGAGATTATTTGAAGTCATTAGTCAATAAACCAGACTCGCGTAAAGTTTTAGAAGTAAAAATTAATCGTGTAGTTCGTGACATATGACGAATATCGGTTAGGTCTAATTCGTTCGTGCAAAAGAAGTCTTGTAGGCCATTTGAATATTGTTGTATTCAAGACTTAATTGCATCGATTGTACTTCACATTAAATAAATTTGAATTTCCTTAACAATTAGTGTGTTTTTTTTTTGTTTTATAGAGAAAATCATATCTCTTATTGGAAAACCCTGTACTACACCTCATTAAACGTGCTACACAGCGCGCAGTTGGGGCGCTAGTCAAACCTTTTTGTGTTAAATGGTTGCGGTTACGTTCTGCATCATTTATATATCTGTCTCTTATACACATCTAGATGTGTATAAGAGACAGACCCTGTACTACACCTCATTAAACGTGCTACACAGCGCGCAGTTGGGGCGCTAGTCAAACCTTTTTGTGTTAAATGGTTGCGGTTACGTTCTGCATCATTTATATATACTGCGGTGTATATTTATATTTTAATATATATCACCATTAAACTTATTTAGCGAGGCAATTGCTATAAGAGGAAAACTTTTAATTGTTTTATTGTAATTTATTATTATCTTAAACTTTAACTACTTAAAAAAAATAATAATATTAAAAATATGAATGTATACATATATATTTTTTTAATTTTAAATGTATTTTGAAATTTATTTAACAAAATTAGTTAAAAAAATATTTTCAATTTAAATTTTCACTTAATCTAAAGGTATAAATCTGCGAATAGTAGACACCGTGCGGGTTACTTGCATCGCAAGGATTTCACCTCGTAATCAATCAAGCAGCATTGCCAAAACGGCAAATTTCACAAAGCAATTTTAAATTTCCCTGGACAGCAAGGTGAATGCAATGATTACATATTTGACCTACTGGTAAGGAATAGCACTATAGCACTTAGGCGGCTTGAAAACGTCGGAAGGAATTGGTGCAGATGTCGCAGGACCACGATCTACAATTTCCATTACTATGGGAAGTTTTCCGAGCATTTTTCAATCAGAAGTCTTTGCTATAAGTCGCTGTGTAGAGATAACAATATTAACGCAACGGAAAAACCGTCAAACTCAGCGATAGCCAAGAAGTACTTTATGAGATTAAATCGCTACCATTGCAGAAGTGTATAGAAAGGCTGAAGTCTATCAGATTATAAACGAGTATCCATATCTGGGTGCCAGATCACAGGGGTATTGCTGGGAACGAACTGGCTGATGAGCTTGTGCGCTCTGCAGCTTCTACTAGAATGGTGCGACCAGAGATAAATGAGCTACTTCGCTGAGAAAGAGTAAGCGGGGAGAAGTATAGACAATAACTTCAAGGTTTACGCCAAATTGACTGCACAGCACAGTCTGAAAAAGCAGGATTAAGGCCCTTAATCCCTATTTCCTACGAGGAATCACATCACTTCAATCGCTAATAGCTGTATTTTTGAATTTAACAATGTGCTGGAGGGATGACACGGTATTTGAGAGCAGAGTTAAATATTATTGAAATATGAAATAAAAGCAGCTCCAAATAATAACTTGACTACTAAAAAAGTATGTAAGGGCTAAGTTCGAGTGTCACCGAACATTTTAGACTCTTGCAACTAGCAAGAATCAAGGTCTGAGAAATTCATTCAGACAAATTTGGGAAAATACCCACATTGACTCGATTTGATCTATTTTTGCCAGCAGCACATATTTACAATTAATATGCTACATATTACAGTCCCCTGGGTTTCATTAAGGTATTTCACACCACCATCATCGTTAATATGGAGGAGAGTCAGCTTATTACTTTTAATTATATTTATTTTAAAGTAAAATGATTTTATACTTTATATTATATATCATACTTACATATGTCACATTTGACATGAGCACTCGCTCATTTAGAATAGTTGCATTTAACAACACGATTCTTCCCCAGTGATCTTGGTAAAGAAATTCCTCGCCTGTAATGATTAAGAGGGATGAAAAAGAAGAGGGAGTTATTAAAATATTTTTAGAAATATATACATAAGTTAATGTGTATATATTTATATTAGGGTGTTTTTTTTGGCTGTTAATTTTTTTTCAGACCCGTTACGAAATTTCCTTGGAAATACTCTAAAAAAAATTCCCCTGAAAATTTTAGCCCTTAATATTAACATTAAGAACTGGACCAAGGCCTGTAAACATTTTCCATAGAAAATACACTACCATCGTTAGTTTTTATCTTTAAATTCCTACAGATCAGAGGTATTTTATGGCAACGCTTTGACTTTAGATGAATACTTCTCGCAATTGTTCGCTTTACAAAAGTGCCCAGTGCAACGAAGTCGTAATTTACACCGGCGAGGAAGTACGCGGCTCTAAACCTGATTTTCCCGAGAATTTCGCATTTTTTTGTATATATCTTGTAAATGACAAGAGCTAGCAATTTAGGTGTCCGAATATTCGGTAAATTGCAGTTTGAATAGTTATGATCCGATATTGACAAGTTTTACACTTCATTTGTCATGACTTAAAGGCACAATTTGTGCAAATATTTTTGGGCGATATTTTCACTGGTGCTTGATTTGTATGCTGGAAAGTTGTGTTGTGTTACATGAGAAATGTAGAGGTTCAAAGTAGTAAGAAAATTTTAAAATATCCTCAAAATTGCTTATGAAAAATAGTCATCTGTAAATACGACAGAGTACTATAAGCTTTCGTTATAAAAAACCGGTCGTATCGTATACTAAACTGAGCTTGAGTAAATCCGTATACTCGGTTTTGTGGAACTTAAATTTTTTTTTTTTTTTTTTTTTTTTTTTTTTTTTTGTTTTTGTATATTTTCATGATACTATATCGAACTCAAATCGTATAAACTAGGTATAAATCTACGAGTATTTGTTAACATACTTAAATATCGCATATTTTCAATTTGCGCTCAATATTTCACGAGTTCAAAATCGCTCACATTAATCAATCATTTCGTAATGAACTGCTACTCTTACACACACTCACCATTTATCCATGTACCGTTGGCGCGCTGCGGCATAAAGAGTCCATCCACGATGTCTTGCAGTTTGATGCGCTGGCCCTTCACGCGCGGCCCCTCATCGGGTGGTGTGAGAAGTACCTTTTTTGATAAATGCAGAAATTTTATATGTTGTTTTCTATAAAGAAAACCAGACAAAGAGAAAGAAAAAAGCACAAAAAACCGGGGGGGACACACGACCACCACGAGACACAATAAAAATAAAAAAAAAAATCGGAAAAATGGGAAAAATATATGACATAAAATTTATACAAAAATTTGCGGGATGACACAGCAATTGCAAGAAAAAAACATATACTACCATATACACATGTACATACAAGAATGCATGAGGCACAGTGAACATATACACATACTACTACATGGGCGGAGAAGTGGTGAACATGAGGTTTAGTAGCCGAAAAGTATGCAATACATCATAAAAAGCTGGTGAAAAGTTAGACTAGTTGGAATGTTGAGAAAATGACATGCTTGTTCAAGGTTGGCGCATATACATATACAGATGTAGATATATAAATTGCACATATTAGGCTGGATCATTTTAGATATTTTTGTATTTTTAATTTATGCAAATTTTAGTTTTAGTCTTAAAAGGGCTGAATGAGTTTTGTTGTTTAAAAAAAAAAAACACATTTTTTTAGCTTTTGTGAATTAATTTACTTTAAGGTGGCTCATTTTAAATAATTTTTTCAATAATTTTTATGTAATGCTTAGCATATTTTTGACGATTTTTTTTCTGATACAACAATTAAATATCCATATTTTAAAACATTAATGTATTTGAAAAATTCGACACATCCTAATATACATTTTTATATTTTAAATATTTGCAAATCTTATTTTTAGTCTGAGAGAGTTTGGTTTAACTTACAAAAACACAATTTTTTTTTAATAAATGCGAATCACTTAACATTAGGGTGGCTCTTTTCTTTTGATTTTTTTTTTTTGTAATTTGATTTTTATCTTTAAGTAAAAAAAGTAGTCTAATTAAACAGAAAACTTAGCAAAAATGTACTCTGTATATGATATTATTTTATGCAGACTTGAATAATTTTAAAATTTTGCTTAACATGAAAATTTTATTATTATATCAATAATTTTTTATCTAATATTTATCATATTTTTACGATTTTATGAGCTGATACAGCATTATAGTATCAATATTTTATAATATACGGGTCTTTAAAAAATTCGACCCACTCTAATATGAAAATTATTTTATCAGAAGCTCATAATATTGCGAAAAAAGTACGGCAAATTATTTACATAAAGCAAATTTTTAAAATAAAATAATTATAATAATAATTGAGAAAAAATTATTTATAAAATATTATGATTAATGAAAAATGCGTAAAATATTTTATTTTAATTTTTTACAGGTCTCCGTGGGCATTACAACACACATTTCTTAATATATTTCTACACTTTCACAAACACTCACACACAAAAAGACTTGAAGTTTATATACACATGCATTTCTAAGTTTTTTACAAACAATTTACAACATTTTCGATTTCTTTACAGTTATTCACTATAAGATGTTAGTCTGACTCACCACTGAGGTAACAATTAGCGCAAGTACAATTATTATAACCAATAAGGCGATGAAAATGCCTCGCCAATTGCGTTGATTTGGGTTGCTGGAGACTAACTGTAAAGAAAATAAATACAGTTTTAAAGTGTTAGATTAAATGCTGAAGTGGTTTTAATGGTAAGTACAATAATTAATTTTAATAAGTGAATACATTTTTAATAGTTTTGTTAATATTATCTGTCGAACTTAAAAAAAAAGCAACTCATATAACTCATAGGTTATGTAAACAAAGTATCTACATGCTGCTATCCGTTTCACAAGTTCAGATATGCCCACGGAACACTAGTCTGCTACACATCAGTTCAAAAGTGTGCACATTTTTTTGCGTCACATGTATTCAGTTTAATATTTCACTGCGAAAACCGTAAAATATATGTAATTCTTACTGAGTTTATTAAAAAATTAGCTAAAGACTTATTTAGGCTTCCGTATTTTCATATTTTTTATTTAGTTTCCTTTAATCTATAAGGTTAGATTAATAATAATAATCTGGTAGGTCAATAAGCCAGGCATACATCAATTTCGTTTCTTTGTCATACCAGATCGAGTTCAGTTGCTGTTTTTATGAAGAATATTCATCTTTTAGGTTGCCTGTACTTTACTTCGAGCTGTTCGCGAAGCGCTGTCTTCTCACTCCCACGAAGTAAAACCTTATCTGGTGCTCTTGAGTTGGGAGTAGGCTTAATGGATTAAAGTTTCGCACTCAGGTTTTGGGTGGGTTACTGTGTACTATGGGTGCAGCAATCTAGTGGTGTAGTTTTGTACATATATATTTTTAATTTTGATTTTTTAGGGTTTTAGCGAGTCCTCTGTCTAACCATAACCATCTTCGTCTTTAAAGATGTCATGGTTTTCCTGATGAGATAATTTGTGAAGAACTATTAATCGTACCAAAATTATGGTAGTAAAGCCGGCTGAAAGCGCCTCTAAAAAAGGCATGTTTCATTTTGTAATAGTTTTTGTTTCTTCTTTCTTTCAATGGATCTGTATAGCTTAGAGTGTACAGTTTTAAAAAACAGGAAAAGCTATTTAAGTTGATTTTGACCGGTCAGCTTCAGATAAATGCCTATCTCGACAATATATACGGCGTTACCTACGACAAAAGTCTAGACGAAATTTCGTGAATGAAACTAATGAGCAGATTGCCAGCACACTATAAAAAGTAGAAAGCAAATTTCAGCTACCTCCGTCTAATTGACGTCAAAACCTTTCGGTTGGCAGACAACTGCCTATAGACGAGCACCGCTTTACAAGTGGAAAACCAATAACAATTTGAAGTATGCGCACATTAAACTTTTACTCAGCTAAGCATTTATTTTATTTGCAAATATTTTCTCAACATTGTAGTCCCATTTTTTTGCTTTTGGTTTTTGTTGTTTTGGCTACGAACATTATTATTCTCTAACTTGCCACATTGGCCTGTGCAACAAGAGGTTGCGCCGCGTGGCAAATGTGTAATTTTTTATGCGCGCACGTCTTTCTTTCACACATACACAAACACACATTCATTTTGTGTAAGTTTGTATGTATTTGTAAGTGCGTATATGCTGGTTTGGGCATATTTTACCTTTTTTTAAAGGTTTCTCATTTTCTCCTAATTCATGCCAATTTCTTGCATCCCACTGGGTCGTGTGGCGCTTTGTCGATTTTTTGGTAATGTTTGTCGTATGTGTGTGTTTGTGCGTATATATTTGTATCTGCTCTTGTATTTATTTGCTTAATTTTGGCAACATTTGCGGCCATTATTTTGGCCACCATTATGCGAATGTTATTATAACGCCTACTTGCTAGCTGCTGGTGGTAACAAAAAAGCTACAACATCAGCAAAAATAATAACAACAACAGTAATAATAAAAGCAACAACAATTGTGTTATAAGATTGGCAATCAGCAAATGTGTTGGTAAATAATGAAAAGGTAGCAGGATTGACTGCTGGCTCTCAACAAATGTGTACCCCTAAAAGCACACTATCGCTCTGTTATTTTCTTAAATATAGTATATTTCGATTTATTCATTGATTTTCCAACGATTACTAAGAATTTGTATGCATCTGCGTATTGCCGATAGAATTTTATGAATTTAGGTTTTGAATATTTTTTGTTTTGGGGAATCTATATAGGAAGCAGTTCTAGTGTATCAGCCTATAAAAGGTGATTTAATATTTTTGGAGATACACGCGATTTTTGGAATAATCATCTTAAACTTCGATGTAGTATGTTTGAAGGTATGTATTATCGAGTTTTTCAAATAATCAAAAAAAAAAATTTTTTTTCCGAAAAGTTCACGAATTTTTCACGGGTATCACTGATTATTATTTTTTATTATTTTAAGACGAGAATTTGTCAATTTAATATATTCAAAGTGACGTAAAATTAATTTCGTTGAAAATAATTTTTACTGCATATTTTCCTGTGATACCACCTTTGTTATATTTCCAACTCAGTGCATTGACGCATTAAATATTAAAATGCAAAGCGCCTAAAAGTATGTGTACTTAATTTAATTGCATATTTTATGAGCGCAAGGTGAGCAAAGATTGAGAAAAGAAATAAAGAGAGCCAATGAAGTGGCTCTTGGACGTAGTAAATAGAAAGTTAAGTGAAAAGTAAATAAATATTTGAGGGAATAATGGTATTTTATGAATTTTTGCGGTAGCTGATAGGCGAAATCAGTGATTTAAATTTTT